GGGTTTCCTGTACCGATGCGAGGATGTCATATGTGTACAGATTGAGGCAAATTTGTGCTTTGTGCTTTTGGGCTATACAAAATAAATTGAATTATTTTGCCCTGTTAATTGTTAAATAAGTGGTTTGTTTCTCGCGGACATTGAAATTTGGGTAATTAACAATCTTCAGTTGTGCCTGACTTGTTTGGTCCCTCACACTAACAATGAAGCAGCTACAGCAGCCTCTCCAGCTGCTACTATCTGGCCTCCATCTCTCTCTTTCCATCTCGTTCATGCGTGTACGCACAAACACACACACACACACACACACACACACAGAGTAGTTTGACTCAAAGGCTGTTCAACTGGAATATGAAATGATGCAAAGGCCAAGTTAAACGCCTGACCGTGATTGTAATATCAAATTAGAGGCTTGCTGGCTAATAAGATTACGAAGAACAAAGCGCTGTGTGAGGTCTGCATTATGTCCGAGTACTACAACACGCACACACACACATACACAGACACACACACACACACACACACACACACACACACACACATATTGAGCTTGATTCTGTAATATGATGCTCACTGTACACGGACACAGGCATGCACTCACATTGGCTGGATTCACACTGACTTACAGTGTTGGGAATAAAGACAGCTTAATGGATACGGGTGGACACGCTGTCAGTGCATTTCTCAAATAAGTCGCAACCTTTTGGTGGCAAAACATCAATCTGCGGTTTTGGTGGTGGGTGCCAAAAACCGGCAGAGCAGAGGGAAGAAGTAGTAGAACAAACAAAATTAATCCCTCTTACAACTGAGCAAGCAAAATAAACACACGCACACACACACACAGACGACGCCTGTGACGGAGGTCTGCATGCACAGACAGACAGCGCTACGTCATTCATGATCTCACAGATCGTAACCCTTTTTTTAAAGTCTGGCTTTTTTACGTTCTCCTTTAATCCCTTCATCGTCCACAGCACCTCATCATCCACAGTCAGGAGAGGAGAGAAGGTGTTTGGTGATGGGTGTCAATGTTGAGAAGAACCAACTGTGGGAATGAAAAAGGTTTTGGAGACAAACGGACTGCCGTCCAGGCAAACACCGAACATATGTAGCTTGGCCCTGATTTGCATAATGCCAGACTACCACAACAACCCCCACTAATAGTTCCTAACGTCGCATCCACCCTCAAAATACACCCACCCTAAGCAATCTACTTTGATCCCCTAAAGCTGGTTAAGAGGGGAAAGGAGAGAAATGTTGGTCAAAGATGGTTGACCTCAAACAGACACAGTCAACAGCATGTGAACCAAATATTGAGCACAGTATGTGCTACAATGGGGAATATTTATCATTCCCATCTACAAAAATACAGTCGATGCTCAACAACCTAGTTCTGGTTGAAGCTCACTAATCCCCTTAAAAAGCATATCAGAACTAGCTTTGTATTACACATAAAAGGACTGCTGGAGTAAAACAATGTGCTTATTTAGAGCAAGTCAACAGACTCTAAGCTCTCTCCATTCTCTTCATTTCTTCTCTTTCTCTACGGCTCGTATGCATGTGGTGTTCAAAGAGAGTGCCTTGCCACTGCAGCCGGCATTGTTACTGATAGCATACTTTGGCTGAAACAAATCTCTAGATGAGCCAACCGAGGCCGAGCCACGCTGCCCACCGTCCATCTGTCTTTTGTACAGCGTTTTCCAACTCTTTCTTCGTGTGGGTAAAGATTTAAAAGGTTATGTCAGCTTTTGGTTTCTTCCAGGATCTAAAGTCTAATTTATTCCCACTTTGTCTGTTGTTTGCTGAGATCCAGGTTGCTCACAAATACGGTTCACTCGCAACTCAAAACAACAGCATGGCTGTTATAGGCTACTATCTCTGAATGGATCACATTACATTATGGGGCAGGCTACTCCTCCCAACACATGTAGGTCTATACCTCATTTTCGTTCTCATTTGGAGCCAATAAACACATTACTTTCTTTATATTTACTGAGATATATGCTGTGGTATAAACACAGGGTTTGGCCTTGAGTGATGGTGAGAAGTGCTGTGTGTAGTGAGTGTGAGTATGTGGTGGTGGAGGAGAGTGACTGGACCATACGAGTGTTAAAGAGCTGGTTCTACACACTATTTAGGTCTTTTTCAAAGCAGTTTTACTATTGTCATGGTAAGAAAAGCACAGGTGTTACTAAAAACATTAACAATGGGTCTGTTCTATATAAGTGTATAAGCCATTACGCCACAATAAATACACAAACTGACCTTAAAAAAAACACACACTCAATGTTGTGAAAATCCCTGATGTCACACCAAAAAAAGCAGCCTGCGAATGTGTGTAATGACACAAACACACACACACAAATGTTAGACCTGCAAATTCACATCTGTACACACTATAAAATGTGCAACACTGCTGCGGAAGTTGACGCCACAAAAACAAACATATGTGCACATTTTCTACAACAAAAGACACATATTCATGCGCTGAGAACCATCTGCTGATCAGCCGATTGCGTTTATTTAAATATTCTGCTCAGTGAGAAATACGCCTCCTTCGGAAAACACCTCAACAAAGCCTCACCTCTCACGCACTTTCACTTGCCCTCAAAAGGATCCAAAATACCTGCTGAAATTGCTCGTTCACCGCCATGTTTGTCTAAAGCTATGTGGCAGGATCACTACCACAATGAAGGAAACTGTAGAGGTCTACCTCTTCGTCATCGCTGGGCAGGCGGTGGTAGTCAGACTCCGACGTGTCCTGCAGGCGCTGGTAGTCTGCCGTCTCCCCCATGGTGGGGCTCCCGCGACCCGTCTGCTACCTGCCCCCCGGGGCTACGTGTCCTCAAAATCCTCAGACAGCCACCGGTCCAGTCAGTGGGCAACCCACTCACTTAGTCAGTCAGTCGGTCAGTCAGCCCGCTTTGAGGTCTTCTGCGCTGTCATTAGGAACACAAGTACAGTAATCTGAATGTCAATCACAGTACACAACTGCATTAGTTCAGATAACCGAGCACAATATTTGACCAAATGTGCTGCTGCTGTATACCTCCAATACTCTTCCTCATTTAGGTTGAGTCAGCTTTCCTTAAAAAATGGCCAGACAATGACTTCCCCATGTCCACACAGTGATGACACGGCCGTGGTCGCCGACTGACCAACCTGTAAAAGGTGTTTATCTTCATGGGAATAACGTTTAGCAACGCATTCCTCTGGCTTCCTTAACAGACAGTACAGTTTGTCCTCTTCCGCAGCCAGTGGCTTAAATCTTCAAGAGAGCATCCGAGGTGTTTCACTGATTGCTCCAGATTAATTCACTGGTCGCTGTTGTAATCCTGGAGAAGGAAATCCCACGTGTGGATGCTGCTGCAGTCAGAATGGAGCATTGGGATGATGCAGCCGAGGTGTGGCACTGGAGGTGACAAATCCAGCAGGTTCTATTTCTGTATTCCCATCTCACGCCACAGTAACAACCTCTGTCTACTTCGCTCTCCACCTTGATCATCTCTGCTGTCTCTCTCTCTCTCTCTCTCTCGCTCTCTCTCTCTCCCTGCTTTAGTGCTGACGCGTGCTCTTCATATCCAGCTATGTCCCTCTCGGTCTCTATTTCTGTGCCCCAGGCATCAGACCGACCAGTTTAACTCCTCTCATTCATCCCCAGCAGTGAAGGGGAGAGATCATACAGAAGCTGTTTACCATTTTTCACCTGTTCATCCTTCCTTTGTGTGCCGCTTCCCCCCCCCCCCCACACACACACACACACACACACAGATCTTGAGCAGCTGTCCAAAGCGAACTGGCAGCTCAGCTCTGACGACCACGGCTAAAGTCTGGGAGGATTTTTTTTTTATGCTGCTTTGTCCTAAATGGACTTCCTGATTGCTCGGTCGATGCCTAATCCTTCGCTGTTGTTGTTATTGTTGTTTGCCTCCTCTCTTCATTTCAGTCCCTCACCCTCTAACCCGCTTTCCACACCCCTCCACTTGATTTTTTTTAATCATATCAGCCTCAGCTGAATGATTTGGTGAGTGGTCGCCTTTTCTATTACCGTGGCAACATTAACCAATCACACCTCCTCCCTGCTCTCCTGTATCCTGTAGTCACGGCGATCCAGTGAGCAGTGGTCCTGATAGAAGCAGCCAATGACGGCGAGGCAGGCTGACGGGGGAGGGAGGGGGAGGAGAGATGATGGAGAGAGGCGGGGGAGCCCTAATGAGGAGAGTTAATCCTCCCTCTGAGAGGAAGAAAAACACGGCCATGCTGCTTTGTGTGAGTGTGTGTACGTGTTATAAAAGCACCTCTCCAGTATAGACAGGGTATCCAGGCCATCTGGATCCTTCCTGAGTGGACATCTGGATGCAGGGTAAAATAGAATAAAAGAACAATGTGTGTGTGTGTGTGTGTGTACGCCTCCTGGTCTTTCCCAGGGAGTAGTGTGACTAGCAACATTGCAGTCCAAGCACTGATGCCATTGAGCAAATCTGTAACACATCTAAATGACTCATACGTCTTCCACCCTTTCGTCCATGGCACTCTTTATCCTTCCCTCTTTCCATCCTAAACACTCTGTTTCCCGTCTCTCTCTCTCTCTCTCTCTCTCTCTCTCTCTCTCTCTCTCTCTCTGACTTCATTCCAGCCCTGTTGATGTCCTCAGGCCGCTTTTTCGCAGACCACTGAGCTACATTCGCTCTCACTCCTCCACTATGACTCTGCTCCTCTGGGGGCCGGCTGTCACGCGATATCGCACAGTAAATACACAAACGTGCACGCACCTCCATCAAAAGGCACGTACACACACACACACACACACATCACTGAACAAATATTTAAACTCAGAAACACTGCATGCATGCAGACACAATACACAGCAACACAGAGGCCTGTATTTCTGTATTTACCACTGGACATAATGCTGATTTTATCAATACATTGAGGACACTGCCAGCATTTCCTCTCTTACACTCCCATTCAGTCACAACACACTCATCACACTTGCATGTCTAAGTCCAGCAGGTTAACAGACAGTCTCACTGACAATGAGAGCTGGCATCCCACATAGGATCAAGTAGGGCCGAACAATTAACAGAAAATTAATCACAATAGCGTTGTTGAATTTGCACAGTTAAAGGAACATGATTGCCTGTGATATTGCCGTTTAAAATGTGTGCTTCGCTCATTGAGAACTCTGCCGCATATCAAATTAAGTGCTGCCTAAACTGACAGGCAGCCACCAGCCGGCAATTATTTGGGCTTCACTTTTGAGGAGCCGCTGCGTGTGCACCCTACAGTAGCAGCCTGTGAGGAACTGAGTCCAGAGTAGAAGAGAAATATACTGTGTATTACTATTTGCCCGTCTGTTCGGAGAGCAGGCGCGTCTAGTTTCAACTTAGTGGGTCAGGAACCATCTCTCTGGTGCAAAAAATAATACTAATTGCAATTTCAGTTTTCTTTCCCCCAATATTGTGCACCCCTCATTTTTTCATTAGCAAGAATATAGTACAACATGGAAGGGTAAGCATGTACAGGAGTAGACATCTGTACAATATAAGACAATACAACATTGCCATGAGTTTTTGATATGGTGACAGAGAGTTGATTTTGGACACAGTCTGTGCAGAGTTGTGTGTGTATATAGATACATATATACGTACATATACGTATATATACGTATATATACACACATATATATATACACATATATATATATATATATATATATATACACACACATATATATATACACATATATATATATATATATATATATA